AAGATGAATTGTCTTTTTTATGCAAATCATATACAATATCAAAGGGGATAAATATCACCGTGAGATATCCCTCGTACGTGCACGAAAACAAGATGGGATAAAACCTTTACTTTTCTGAAATTGTATTATCTTTTGCCCCTTTCTCACCCACCAATATTCCAACAATAAAAGTAATGTGGCATTTTACACCATCTATTTTAGTAAGATGTTGTAGGTTTAACACATGTTTTAAAAAAGCGTCAAAGATTGTGGAAAATAAAATGTCATGAAAATTTTTAAAAATAGAATTGAATATCAGACAAATCAATTTCCAATAGTGCAAATTTAAACCCTATTAATAAAATCCTGCACAACATGGATTTAACCTTGGAAATAAAAAAAGAGAATGGTCTAGAAAATTTTAAAGGAAAAGTACTCAAGGAGAAAATGAGTGTGAATAAACAATAAATAAAAGGAAAATGTTTATATAGAGCCGAGGCTCTAAACAATCAAATTAGAGCCCACCTAAAAAATTTTACTAGAAGAAGTTGTTTTGATGCCCAAATATCCTCAAACTAATCATCTTGATATCAAGATGCATGGACATGAGAAAAAAATGGATTTCAAGTTTTGAAAATAGTACATCTTGTAACGCATTTTTGGATAATCAATTTTCAAGTTTCCATAGATATGTTTGATCTATACTATTTTTTTTCGCTTTAAATTTTATTATTAAAAATGAAAATATATTTTAAGGCTATCACAAAGATTTCCAATATTGAGACCACATTTCTCGACACTATTTAAAGGAGCGCTTTACTTTGATTGTTTAGAGCCTTAGCTGTATAGAAATAATTTAGGTGCCCTATTTGGGTCACCTTATAGGAAAGGTGAACTTCCTTCTAGAGAGGGAAGGACGTCTTGTATATAAAAGGGGCAGCCTCTAGCAAGAGAAGTAACCTTCTACAAAGAGAAATGGTCGGCATGTGCCGCATGTGAGAAAGGCTTGTTTCTTGTAAAGAACCAGTTCTCATATAGATTTGTGATGGCATCTCCTTTGTAAAAAGAAATTGAATTTCTCGTTGTTCTTACATGTCTGTCTAGTGTGTTTAGTAAACGTAGCCAAAAGTAAAAGAAGAACCACAAGTGATGCCAGTTGGAGAGTTGTTTCAAGGATTGCTCAACTACATTTTTTGTTGATGTTAATAAGATAGTTTTTATTTCCTAAAATCTATGGTGTAACACTCATTATTATAATGGATTTCAGTTTTTCATGCTTGTGGATGTAGCCTTTGGGGTGAACTACGTCAAATTTTTGTGTCTTTATATTGTATGGTCATATGTGTCATAGGCCGTTATTTGTTCAGAAAACCAAAAAATGTTTTCTATTGCTTAGATGGTACATGGATGCATAATATTTCATGGTTTTTTTTTAGCTTTTTCATTAAATTTTTTTTATTGTGGTATTCATTTATAGTGTCATTTTTTTTTATTAAATTTGGTATAGTTTCTTTCTCTACATATTTTGAGAAAATTTCTTTCTAAAAATTGTCTAAGTAGTTTCTCTTTCTAAAATTTTAAAATATTTTCTCTCTAAAATTTAAAATTTGAAATATTTTTTCTCTCTAAACATTTTGAGATAGTTTGAATTTAGGTATTTCTTTCTCTAAAATTTGATATAGTTTCTGTCTAATATTTTAGTATACTTTCTCTCTCTAAAACTTAAAAGTTGAAAATAGGTTCTCTAAAGTTATAAGATACTTTTTAAAACTTAAAATTTGAAATCGTTTCTCTCTCTTTAATTTACGGGGGTGTTTTGGTAGAGTTAATTGTATTTTATAAAAGGGTGTGGTTTCTATAAGGTTGCAACCTTAAACATCCAATTAACGCGCACCTCCAAATTTTAACATAACATATAATTTTGATGTAAAAAATTCTTAGGATTATCTCAAAATCTATTTTTCATATCTAATTATCAAATTTTAAAATCCAAAAATAATTAAAATCAAGTAGATCTATAAACATATAAAAATCTTGAAAATTGATGATCTAGATAATGTGTTGCAAGATGCATTATTTCTTGAATTTTTTTTTTTTTTTTTTCCATATTCATATATCTCGATGTCAAGATGATCAATTAAAGGTTTTTTTAACATTACAATAAATTTTTTCGATAGATTTTTAAGATGCATTTGTATTCCTACATTTTAAGGTTGCAACTTTATGTAAACTTTTTCCTTTATAAAAAGGTGTGGTTTCTATAAGGTTGCAATCTTAAACAATTTAATTAAAGTGCACCTCCAAATTTTATTAACATGTAATTTTGGTGAAAAAATTTTTAGGATTATCTCAAAATCTATTTTCACATCTAATAAAATTTTAAACTCAAAAAATGGTTAAAATCGAGTAGATCAATAAACATACGAAAATCTTCTAGAAAATGTATTGCAAGATGCATTATTTCTGAGACTTTAAGGGCCGTTTGGATATCTGTAAATCTATTACATGAAAATTGATTACAAGGAAATATGACATTTTTTTTTTTAGGTAAACTTTAATAGTAAGAAAATGGAAAGAGATTACCCAGATTTTCCCAATACACGCTAGTAAATGGAAAAGATTTTTCCAAAAATCACGAAACCGATTATGAAGGTGAAAAATCTTTTGGTAAATCTTTCATTGGTCTCTCTCTACCTTAGCGGCTTTAAAAAAATTCCAATTCTCCATTTTCCCTTTCTCAAATTCGTCGGACGAACTGACCAAAGCAAGCTTCTCTCTTCACTTGTAAGCCTACTCTCTTTTCTTCTTCAACCATAATAACTGTTTTGCATATATTTTCCTTCCTTCTTTAAGCCCGCCCCTCTCTCTCTTCAGTCCTAATTACTGGTTTGCATACGATGCTCTCTCCCTCTCTCCTTTCTCTTGTCTCTTGAGCCCTCTCTCCCTTTTCCTTCTCTCCTGTCCCTCTCGAGCCCTCTCTCTTCCCTTTCTTTCTTGAAACTAATTATTTTGATGTAGATAAACCCTACCTCTTTAGTCTCTTCCAATACCTCAAAATTTTCTACTGTAAATACCAAACTTTCTAGTTTACTAATCAAACTTCTTCTATTTTTTAACTTCTCTTATAAAGATTTTGAATTTGTATCATAAATTTATTGCTTATCTAAAATTATATAAAGACATTTGAAAGACTTCAATAAAAAAATGAATAAAAATAAGACTTATCATAATAAAAATATGTTATTCCAATCATATCATTCCAATAACTTATCGTGTTGAAACAAAAGCCTAATCATGTTAAACGACATGTAATTCCATGTAAGTGCTAAAGGCATGGAAAATAAGTAAAAAATAATATGATGATGACTTTAAAATGGTACAAGTTATTATTAAAAAATATTTTTGAAATGGTGACAATTTGATTATTAGAAAATCTTTTTGGAATTGTGTGATAATGACTTTAATTCTGCATTTCAATAGAATTTTGCGACAAAAAAGAAAAAAATGATAATTTATAAGCAAATGGTGGTAAAATATTGGTAATGCATTTCCAATATTTCTTTCAAACATAGCAAAACCGCAACAATGTATTTCTCACGTTGCACCTAAATACTACCCAAACAGTAACAATCCATTTACAAATAATATATTATGCAATAATGTATTACGTCAGTAATATATTTGACATAAAATATATTTCCAGGCATCCAAACGGCCTCTAAATTTTTTTTCTTCATATTCATACATTGAGATGATCAATTAGAGGGTTTTTTCAACATTAAAGCAATCTTTTTCTTATGAATTTTTGATGTGCATACATTTTTAGGTTGCAATCTTATATAAACTTTTTCTTTTATAACAAGGAATTCCGAATGATTAAGGCAAGGATACAAATGTCTTTAGTTTTCGCTTGAAATGAAAAACATAATTTATCGTGAAAAGACTTTTATATCCCACAATTTTGATCCGAACGATCTCCACAAAAATATTTCTGGAAATGTATTTTAAAGCGTCCAAACGGCCCTTGACAAATATAATTTTGATTGTGCCCTCAATTATAAGTGCTTTCTGACCTCTTCATACCAAACACATATAATCCGTTGAATATGCAAGCAAACGTTTATTTCTAACTGTTAGCTTCCTCAAAATATCTAGCAACGACAGAACAACCGTCCATTTTCCATTTCTATAATTAACTATTGAAAGTCAAATATCACGCACCAAAAAAGGCCCATCAATTAACAACAAAATGTTGAGATAAGCCATTTGAAAACAATAGAACAATTGTAACTTAACAGTCCAAATGTTTTCTAAATATAACTATGGTTTATAGTTTTCAATTTATTTATTTCATATTCACATTTATGATCTGATCATCAAATTATATTTTTTAAAAAAAAAAAAATTTATTGCCAAGGCCGCAATTCTACACTATACCATGCGGGGCGGAAACCGTGACCGGCCCACTCTCTACCTAAATGCATGGAAGGGAAGGGAAGGGAAGGGAGAAAGTAAAAGAGGAAGTTTATGACCCGAGATGGCGCATATGCCGATAAAGCGAGCGCCAAATGAAAATGAAAATGAAAATGAAAAAGAAAAAGAAAAAGAAAAAGAAAAAAGGGGTAGTGGCGGAGTGCCCGAACAACGGGGGTCGAGACGGCGGTGATGCGGCGCAGCGGGGCGGGGCGCGGCGCGAGACGGCCCCCACACCCACCGCCCACTCGACGAGGTGCAGGCCCCACTTTCCGATATTCACGCCCCTCCTCCCGGGCCCCACTCCACCCCCAACCTTTTCGCCTCCCCCAAAAGACGCCGTATAAAACCACCATAACGTAAAAACGTTCGCCGGCATACAAAACGAGCGCGTTATAAAACATCATCAAACAGTGATTACACTAGAGACACGTGATCTGAGCCTTTCATCCTCCCCTCCCCCCCCCCCTTCCGTTCCGTTGCTTTCTTTTTACTGAATTCGTAAATGCGGAAATTTTGGTATTGTTGAGCGTTAACGGAAATAACAGTTGAGAAATAACGCACGCCTCAAAAACGTATTTATTTTCACTGAATTATTTGCTTTCTTTTAACCGAAAAAGGGAGAAAATAAGCCGACAAACTCATCTTCCTTGGAATCCTTTGCCGGAACTCCCACAACTCGCCGGAAAACAGGCTGGTATCTCAAAACCGGTGACAAAAACACCAAAACGCGTTTTCATTCTAGACAAAGAGGTTCAGAACCCTCGGCTCATTCAACAGCTGAGATCCGCTCTCGTTGCACGTCACCGAACCCTCAGAGTTCATCGATGGAGTAGACGGTCGGCTCTTTTCCGGCCGCTTTCCCGGCCAAAAAGTCGACGGATGACTTAACCCTAAACAGAGGTCGACCTCGCCAGATTCAGAGACCTCGTCTTTTTCTTTACTTTTTGGACAAACCCTTTTATCCTTGGCGGTAGAAACCTCGGAGAAATCATCAGGATAATGGAGATTTCCTGGGATGTTTCCGGCCAAAAATTCCGGCAGGGGTCGAAGCGTGCCGCCTCTGAGGACTACTTCTACCGCCGCTTGGCACACGTGCCAGTTACCACTCCAGAGAAGACCTACCGCTCCATTAACGGGATTGACTGTACGACCACAGGCTTCGTACAAAAGTGACTGGAAAAGTGCTGCAAAATGACCGGAAAATTTGTTAAGATCGGAAAAAGAAAAAAGTTCAAACGCTTTCTCGGTGGTAAAACAGCGACGAATGACAAAAGCTAAGCATTTTCCTGGCATGGTTTTACAGTATAATCGAGATGAAAAAAGAATTAAGATTTCGGGCTTTGTCCGCCATTTTTTACCATAAAACGATCACAGGAAAGATAAATTGTTGCCTTTTCTGGCTAGTTTTTGGCCGGAAAACAGATAGAGAAGAAAGTTCAGGCTTTTTCCGGCCAACATGGACGTCTTTTACCCCACTTAAGGTAAAAGAAATTATGGCCTTTTACAATCAATTTTGGGCCAGGAAATGGATATATCAACAGTAGAAATACAAAATTATGGAGTTTCTGACCAGAGAATGGAGAAAAGGAAGAAAAGAGGGAGCTTTCTACGGCGAACTTACCAGGTCTCTGATTTTCAGGCACGGCGGAGATGAAGGACATGAGACCAGCTCGTCCAAAGAACTTGGCCACAAACACAGTGGCGTGACCTTGAGCCTCTGCTCCATCTATCCATTGAAGGCAAGAACGAAGCATGCAGCCTTCGCTGCAACCCTTTCTCAGAACACGGCAGCCATTGCAGCTCATCTTAAAGCTCGATAAAAGTTTCCTTCCTTCTCCTTTTCCAAGCCTCTGCAGCCTATCATGAAAATCACTGAGAGAATCAGCGCCTTCGGCCTTGATCAGAGAAAGCAAAGAAGAAATGGAATCTGTATTGAGAAGGAAGAACAAAACACAGAGAAAAATCGACCCTTTGGCTTCAATCGACGGGATATGAAGAAAAATGCAGAGAAAAATGGCGAATCAGAGAATGAAGGAAGTATGTGAGATTTTTGAAGAAAAAGAGAAGAAGGCTCTGAAATTGTGATGGGTTTCTAATCCATGGGTGTTAAATATAAGGAGAGAGAGAGAGGGGTGGGGTTAAATATTAACCGTGGTTAGGTTCCGAGCTCCTGGGCACGGCTGCGTGTCTCCGCGCCCTGCCTTCTCAACCGTCGGATTCCTTCGTGTGAATACCCAACTTGAATAACGTATATATCCCTATATTGTATAAACGTACATATCGCAAATGACCAAAATGGGCCTCGGTCACTTTGTTGCGAGGTTAATAATGACCAGAGAGACCCGTTAATGTCCATATTGTTCCTTTGTGCTTTTTTTTATGTTTTACGGTTCAGTACAAATATCATTAAGGCCTTAACCTATCTTACGAAATTAATAAAAACTTCACAAAATATTAATTTGACAATACAAACTTCATTTTTATTGTTTCGTATTTGTTCTAAATTTTCCGGATTATCCTTACTCAGAGTTAGTAACATTAAACTACAAGGGGAATTTCGATAAGCTTATCTATTTAAGTAGCTAAAGCTAAATTATAAAAGGGATAATCTAAACTTCACAACCTTGCAAATTACAAAAGTTAAAGATAATCTAAACTTCTCAACATTTCAAATTACAAAAGTTAAAGATAGAGAGAGTTGTGAATGGTAGATTTATTAATTTTGTAGTCTATTTTCTAAAAAAAGTTACTTTTTGTGATAGTAATTTTGTAAATATTACTAAAAAACAATGAGTACTTTTATCTTCTCCATAAAGGTAAAGTTGAAATGTTTATTAAAAAGACAATGACACTCTACAAATAAAATTGCATGATACTAACTTCTAAAATATCATTATATTTTTGTAAAAATTTCAAATTTTTTATTACTTAAAGGTTAAGTTACTTATTAAAATATTTTTTTTAAATAAAAAGTACTGATCTTTTTATAAATACACCCATTACAACCCCTTCTAACTTTAACCTTTGTATTTTGAGAGGTTGTTAACTCTAAACAAACCCATTATAAAAAAGATGCAGTTTCCATACGGATGCATCCATATGTGTAGAGGTAAGGTGCACCTTTAAATTTTATTATGGTATATAATTTTGATGTAAAATGTTCTCAGGATTATCTCAAAATCTATTTTTATATCTAATTATAAAAATTTAAATTTAAAAATTGGTTAAAATCAAGTAGATCTATATTATTTTTGTGGCTATAAATTTTATAATTAAAAATAAAAATATATATTAAGGGTATCACAGAGATTTTTAGTATCGAAACTACATTTCTAGATATTATTTGAAGGAGGGCTCTAATTTGATTGTTTAGAGCCTAGGCTCTATACAAACTGCACCCTTTTAAAAATCGGATCACAGTAGGTGATTTTCGTCGTTCAACTTGAACGCGATGGGTAACTGTCCAACTTGCTCACTGAACCGTAACTCTGGCCTATTCAACCCCACAAGAAATTTAATACGATAAAAATAGAGTTTGTTTTAAGAATAATTTGCATTTTCCATAGCATGTTCAAACTTTTGAAACAAGTTTATATTTTCTTGTTTCTTTAAAGAAGGAGCTGAAGCGTCAACCAAGCCGACTTGTCAATTCAGCCGATTTGATTCGGAACCGGTTGGTAGGGGTGGCAATCAGATTAGACCCGATGGGTATACCCGACCTCGGGTCAGATACAGGTTCAAATTTTGAACCAGAATACTAGTTGGGTCTGGGTCCGAGTCCAACGCGACCCAATTTATATACGACCCGTACCCGTAGTCATAGGGTATTTGATGGCAACCATGTGTCTTTAGGTACACGCTAGGTATTCATATTATGACAATATTAGCAACATTTACAACATTATTGGCAAAAAATAATAATAATAATAATAATAATAGGGTATACAATGGTAAAGAAAAGAACAAAACAGAAAAACAAAAACTCCCAGACATAGGGTGGCAATAAATCCAACCAGACCCGAGACCCGATGAGTCTAGATATGGGTCCAAATTTTGAACCCTAATACTATTTGGGTCCAAGTCCAGGCAGATCTGACCCGTTGCCACCCCTACCGATGGGTGACTAGTTGGACAGCCTAGTTAGTCATTCTACATTTTCAGTTCTTTTAGACAGTATGCTAGCACATCTTCAGTTTATGAAGGAAATGTTGGGAAGTGTCATTTGTTGACATTGAACATTAGAGAAGCTGACAGTATATTGTTTCAAACCAAGTAGGTGGTGTGGCATACCTTCCATTCCTTTCCCCTTATGTGGATGTGCCTTTATCTACTGACTCCGACTTCGTACCTCAAACAAAAAAACCTATTTAGGTGCATTTTTCCAATTTAAAGTTTTGGGATCAATTATTGTGCCCACATATGGGTGTAGTTTGCATGACGCCTAAATACAAACTTCATCTCAAAGCCCTAAAAGAATATGTGATTATAGGTTGAAATCTGAGTGTATCTTTGCCTTTAATTCTAGCATATATCTTGTAACACTTGAAAATGGATGCTTTAGATAATACATTACAAGATGGGAAAAGTTTATATAATGTTGCAACCTTAATATGTAGAATTACAGATGCATCTCAAAAATCTATCGGAGAGGTTATTTTAATGATGAAAAATCATCTATTGGATCATCTTGACACCAAGATGTATGAATATAAAAAAAAAAAATTCGAGTCTCAGAAATAGTGCAATTTTGCAACATATTATCTAGACAGTCTATTTTCAAGATTTTCATATGTTTAAAGATCTCTTTGATTTTAACCATTTTTGGAGTTTAAAATTTTCTAATTAGATATGAAAATAGATTTTAAGATAATACTAATAATTTTGACAACAAAATTACATGTTATGATAAAATTTGGAGGTGCACCTTAATTGGATTGTTTAAAGTTGCAACCTTATAGAAACCGCACTCTTACAAGATATACCATTTTTAAGGCTCTAATTTCATATATTTTTTAGATCCACGATAAGTTAAGTTGAGATGATCAATTTGAGGGCATTGTAGCCTTGAAACTGCATTTTAAGGCATGGATTTGGGGTGCAACCTTACTTTTTATCAGTGATTTAAAAAATACTGGATCGGCATGGAATCACTCAGTTCGACCTGGGAATCGGTCACCGCGTGCCGATTCTGTCAATATATAAGAAATCGTCCGAGTCTAGAAGAGAACCGACAATTAACTAGAGTGAAACGGTGTTTTACCACAGTAAAAATAAGGTTTTGCTAGAGTAAAAAAGCCGATTCACCGATCTAGACCTGTTTTTGGCCAGGTCACTATTTTTGCACGCGTTTTTTCGCCGGTGCACTATTTTTTTCACACATTAAAACGGCGATCCAAGCTGCTGATTCAGACCGATTTTACAATGCCCGATCCATGTCATAGATTTGTTTTTTAAATCTATGCTTTTTATCCTAAACCATAGGCGTTAAACAAGGTCATTTTATATTTAGGTTAGGTGCAGTCTTTTCTTCACATTCTCACTAACGGCGGTAATGATGCAACGTGACATCCCCATCCTCTCTTGTGAATTTTTTTTTTTTTGTTAATAGTAACTTTCATTAAAATAAAAAATAAATAAATAAACTAAAGTTCCAAAGTACAAGAGATATAAGAGGAAGAAATAGAGGGATACAAACCTCTACTTCCAAAGAAGACCAACCAAAACTCAACAAAAGGTACATCCCTAACCCACAATGGACATGCATCCAATGTTGTCAAATTCGCTTCTCTTCGGCCGAAAAGGCCGAAGCCTTCCAATGTTAGGCTTAAACCAAAGCGAAGAGAAGCCTGGTGCTGCCGCCTCGGTCAAATTCGGGTCTTTTTGGCTTACTTTGGTCAGATTCAGGTCTGTTTCGACCGAAACTTTGGGTTGCTTCGGTCTGAAAAAGAAATACCTATATAAAGTATTTTTTACTTTTTTATTTTTTTATTCTTAATTTTTTCCATTATTTTATGTATAGAAATATCTAATTTATTTTCATGAAATTTAACAAAAAAAAAAAAGTCTGAACTCTTTTTTCAAATCGGACAAAGTATCAAATTGCTTCATTTTTCTCACCAAACTGAAGAAGACTCTTAAGTGAATTTGACAACATTGTCTACATCACAAACTAAAATGACCCCAACTAGGGCAATCAAAGCAACTTCCACATACCTCAAGATCATTAACCTCTACCACTCCACCCAAAACTCGCACCAATGATCCATTGAAATTATCTTCCCATGCACAATAACCTCTCAAGCCGGAGTTGTGACTGCGAACCAACCTGCACAAGACTGATGGCGCCCATCAAGATGTTAAGAACTTGGTGGCATCATAGTGAAGAATGGCGGGCAACCACGACTGAAATGTAGGGATTGAAAAAATTGTTGGGTTCATGTGGCCTTTAAAAGCCTTATGAGTGCTTGTAAAATGAAATGATATAGTGGAACATGAACTCAGTGGGAGTGTGGTCACTCGTAGGCCATACTAAGCAAATGATGTTTGCAGATACCGGACTGTGCTTGACGATCTTAGCCAGTCGGTTGGAAAAACCCATGTTACTTAGGCATAAAGAACAAACCGAGAAGGGTTCTAATGGGTTAACCCTTGATGAAATCGGAGAATATGCCCGGATGAGTGAGCCGAGAGACTGTGTGACCCTTGTGTGTGATGTTGGCCTACAGAGACAGGGGCCAAAACCTCATCCATGTACCATCACACGGCATGCATATCGATAGATCGTTCGGAAAAGCCAGAAATTCACTTTTTAGGGTGAAGTGTATGCATGTGCGAGAGATACCCTTATACACCATAGAGCTGTGGTCTTGGTGACCTTGACTTGTCTCTAAGGGAGGACCTGAAATCCACAGACTAGGATTACGATCTCTTGGCTCATCGACCAGACTTTGATGACCTGCTAATGAGCCCCTGCTTAGACTGTGGGTCATGAGAAACACTGGGTCGGTCTGATAAAGCAAGTGTGGTCTGTAATCCACAGTTGAAGGTGGAGTGTCCCATGATTGTTGATTCTTTTCCCATCAA